GGTGCGATATTAACGTCGCAATCGTCGATGCGATTCTCGTCGTCGTCGTCGCGGTCGCGGTCAATGTCGTCGTCGTCGTCGTCGTCGTCGTCGTCGTCGTCGTCGTCATCATCGCCGTCGCCCTCGAGGTGAACGTCGCCGTCGTCGTCGTCGCCGTCGACGAGACGACTATCATCGTCGGAAGAGGATGTGGTGCAGAAAGAGGACGGTGAGGAAGCGGATGAGTCAGGAGGGAGCAAGGGGGAGACGGAGGAACGAGAGGGAGGAGGAGGTAGGAAGAGGAGGAGGAGGAGGAGGATCAGGCGGAGCAGAGGAGGATCAGGCGGAGGAGGAGGAGGAGGAAGATGAGGCAGAGGCGAAGGAGGATGAAGTGGAGATGGAGGAGGAGGCGGAGGAGGATGAAGAGGAGGTGGAGGAGGAGGCGGAGAAGGAGGAAGAGGTGGAGGAGGCGGAGGGAGGAAGAGGTGGAGGAGGAGGAGGAGGAGGAGGAGGAGGAGGGAGGGGAGGAGGAGGAGGAGGAGGAGGAGGCGGAGGAGGGAGGCGGAGGAGGAGGAGGAGGAGGAGGAAGAGGCGGAGGAGGAGGAGGAGGAGGAGGAGGAGGAGGAGGAGGGAGGAGGAGGAGGAGTGTTTTGGCGACAGCTCGGGCGTCCGAAGAGTCAGTGCCGCAGGCCGGGCGGGGCGGCGGAGAGCTCGGAGAGGTACCCGCCCGTCCGCAGCCCTCGCGGGGGAGGGGGGGCAGGCCACGGCGGGGCCTAGGGGGGGGAGGGAGGAGGAGAGGAGGCAAGGAGGAGACGGGGGAAGGAGGATGGCACGGGCAATGCGGAGCAGGAGGACGGAGAGGAGGAGCAGGAGGACGAGGAGGAGGAGGAAGAGGATCAAGGAGCAAGAACGATGAAGAACGATCCGCGCAAAGAGCTACCGTGCGTCGGTGGTCATGTTTCGTGGTAGTTCACGGTCATGTCGGTCTAACAGCGCGCATCGCATGATGGGTGGAGCTCGCCATGGGTTCAGTGCCCGCCCTGCGTGTTGTGGAATGAGTTCAAGAAGGGCAAGTGCTGGAAGTGCGTGGTTAAGAAAGAAGGATTTCGCACAATCGTTCGCACCTGCAGGACAGGGATGGCAGCATCAGCGTCAGCACCAGCACATGGCCCAGAAGCAATTGCAGCAGCAGCATCAGTCGTAGCTGCCGCATCTGACAAATAAGCAGCAGCAGCTAGTTGTGCAGCAGCAGAGGCAGCAGCACAACCAGTTGCAGCACCAGCAGCGCATGCGGCCGCAATCGCATTCCATTGCCCCATATGGGGGTTCCACCGAAGCCTCGGGTGGCAAAGACCACATGCGGTTCCACCCCCATTTCCGCGAACCCTCACACGCGTCGTGGCCCCATAGGGAGCTCCGCGCAATGCCACCGTGGCAACGCCCGCATGGCGGTCACGCTACATTTTGGCACACCCTTCACGCGCTCCGTGACCCTATTAGAAGATCCACCGAAGGCAATATTCACAACGACGGCACCCACAATTGCATATGGTTGGGCCCTTCGCCAGGCTAATTTTATGTTTCTGTTTGGGGGGGGGGCGGGAGGGGAGGTGGAAATCCGTTGTGTGCTTTCCAATGAAAAATCCCGCTGTGCGGATTTCCAATAGAATCCCTTTGGAATATTTTCCAATGGATTTCTGTTGAGAGGCGTTCCAATCGAATCTCCTTTGTGGTGTTTCCGAAGGGTTCCCGCTGTGACGGTTTCCCATAAAATGCCGTCGTGGTGCTTTCCAAGTGATTCCTGTTTTGAGGCTTTCCGTTCGAATCTTTTTGCCGTGCTTCCCAATGGATTCCAGTTGTGCGGCTTTCCAATAGAATCTCTTTGTGGTGCTTTCCGAAGGATTCTTCTGTGTTGCTTCGAAACAGACTCTCCTCGTGGTGCTTATCAAAGGATTCCTGTTGTCATGCATTTTACAATAGAAGCCCTTTGCGGCGCGTTCCAGAAGATTTTCACTGCGAGGATTTACCGCATAATCCTGTTATGGCGCGTTCCAAAGGATCCTCGTGGCGAGGCTTTCCAATCGAATCTCTGTGTGATGCTGTCCAAAGGAGTCCTGTCGTGAGGTTTCTCATCGAATCCCTCTGCGGCGCTATCCAAAGGATTCATGCTGTGATGCTTCCTGATTGGATCCCTCTCTGCACTTTCCGATGGACTCCTTTTTTGTGCAGCTTCCCAACAGGAGCCCTCAGTTGTGCTTCCACAAAGTTTTTCTGGTGTGCGGCTTTCGCAAGAAATCCCTGTGTGGTGCTTTCCGATGGGCTCCTTTTTTTGTACGGCTTCCCAACAAGAGCCCCTTGGTGGCGCTTTCCAATTCAATCGAATCTCTGTGTGGTGCTTTCCAAAGGATTCCCCTTCGTGGTAATTTCCGAAAGGAGCCCGTCGTAGCATTTTCCAGAGGATTCCTCTGGTGACGTTTTCCAATAGGAGTCCTTCGTGCTGCTTTCCAGCGGATTTCTCTTGTGAGGCTTTCCGATGCAATCCCCGCGTCGTGATTTCCAAAGGATTCCTGTTGCCAGGCGCTCCGATCGAAGAATCCATTTTGTTGCGCTGTTCAAAGGATCTCTATTGCGAGGCCGCCCGATAAAACCTGTTAGATTCCTTGCCACAGGGTTCCAATTGTTTGTTCCCAAAGAATTATTCGATGGCGCTTTCCAAAGGATTCCAACTATGCTTGTTTCTAACAAATTGCGTGTTGCTAGACAGTTTTTTACACATGATCCCTGTTGTGAGGCCATACATTGAATTCCTGTGTAGCATTTCGCACATGTTCCAAGCCCGAGGCTGTCCAATCGAATCCGCCGGCCCCACTGTGGGGCCACCAAGCTGTAGGACGAAGGTTTGCCGTTCCCTGCACCAGTTCCAGTTTCCAGTTTCCACTGTTACAATCCTGCTTATTGCTGCTCATTGTTTCTTGTTGGTGGACCGCGCGAGGGGGGGGGGGGAGCCGAGAAGGAACATAGTTACCACGCCCGAATCGGGTGCTCTGAATTCCTGGGGGGGGTCTAAGTTGACACCCCTCACGCAGATCGGCGGGGTCAGGGTCCAAAAACATCAGAGATTAGCTACAATGGTGAAAAAATCCGGTGGCGCCCCTCACGCAGATCGGCGGGGTCAGGGTCCAAAAACATAAAGAATTTGCCACACTTTTGAACAATCCGGCGGCAACCCTCACGCAGATCGGCGGGGTCAGGGTCCAAAAACACGAGCGATCTGCCACATTTCTCAAATTCGGCGGCACCCCTCACGCAGATCGCCGGGATCAGGGTTCAGACACATTAGGGATTTGCCGCATTTCTGGAAATTGGTGGCGCTCTCTTGAAGATCGGCGGGGTCAGGGTCAACAAGAACACATGGGATTTGCAACATTTCCATATTTCGCAGAAAAGCTTTCTGCACAGCATACGCGAGCAAGCTCGAAATACGACACCGAATGCAACCATATCACCAGCATCTCAATTTGTCTTGCCGATTACTCATCGTCTTCGCGCGAAGTCCCGACGCATCTTCACGGCGGCGCCAAGGCCTCATGACTTCGCTCTTGCGTTACCCATTATCCGAGAGAGGGGGGGGGGCGAAGCCCTCACGGATATCTTGTGCGGTCCAAAGGCTTCCTCCTGTGATGCGTTCCAGTAGAAGCCCTGACCAGTGCTTTCCAAGATGGCTCCGAGGATGAAGCTTTCCAATCGAATCCCTTGGTGATGATGCCCAGCGGATTGCTGTTGCGAGGACATCGAATATCTGTACTTTGCTTTCCAGGGGGATTCGCTTGTGATGCGCAAGGAAGGAGATGCATATAATGTGAATGTGAGACAGAGAGAGAGGCAAAGGGAGAAAGCGAGAGAGGAAATCTAAGGAACATGATGCAGACAAGGCTTAAAGCTCGTAAAAACTCCTCTGGTGAAATTCTAGCCCCATGCTGTTTGGTACTGGGCTAGAGTTCCAAGGGCCATGCTCGGGAGGGGCATTTTTTGTGAAGAGGCTGGCGAAGAGTGAGAGAGAGAGAGAGAGAGAGAGAAAAAAAACGAAACAATAGAGAAAGAGATGGAGACGAAGAAGCTAAGAAGATCACGATAAAGATTACGAACGCATCATGAAAACACAATAAACAACACACATCAAAACAGCGAGGTCAGCCACAATCCCCCGGCCTCGAGAACGAGGAAGAGGAGGCGGAAGAGGAGGAGGAGGTGGAGACTGAGGAGGAGGATCAGGAGGAGGCGGAGGAGGAGGAGGCGGCGGAAGAAGATGAGGTGGAGACTGAGGAGGAGGATCAGGAGGAGGCGGAGGAGGAGGAGGAGGAGGAGGAGGAGGAGATTGAGGTGGAGGAGGAGGAGTGAGGAGGAAGAGGAGGAGACGGAAGAGGAAGAGGAGGAGGATGAGGAGGAGGAGACGGAAGAGGAGGTGGAGGATGAGGAGGGAGGATCAGGAGGATCAGGAGGAGGGAGAAAGGGAGGAAGGCGTAAAACGCACGCGCGCGGCGGGCGGGGCCACGGACACGCCCGTGGCAAGCACCCCCGCCGCCGCCGGGGCGGCTCGGGCGACGCGCCTGGCGGGCCGCGAGGGGGTCTCGGGCGGGGGGGGGTAGGGAGGAGGAGCAGCAAGGAGGGAGGGAAAGGAAGGGGTGGAGGAGAAGGAGGAGGCGGAGGAGGAGGAGGAGGAGGAGGAGGAGGAGGAGGAGGGGGAGAAGGAGGCGGAGGAGGAGGAAGGGAGGAGGCGGAGGGGAGGAGGAGGAGGAGGAGGAGGAGGAGGAGGAGGAGGAGAAGACGGAGGAGGAGGAGGAGAAGGAGGAAGAGGGATGAGGAGGTATAAGGAGGGAGGAGGAAGGATGAGAGGCGAGGAGGAGGAGGAGGAGGAGGAAGAGGAGGAGGAGGAGGAGCAAGGAGGAGGGGCCAGAGGGAGGATCACGGAGGGAGGGGGGGCGGAGGAGCAGGAGGAGCGATGAGGAGCAATGAGGAGACTTTCGTCATCGTCGTTGTCTTTCCGCAACTCGCTTCGGCTGCAGGTCTTCACATAGCCGGGCGAGAGCGTGCACAATCACACAGCGAAGCAATGTGGTTACAGCTTCGGCAGCCCCGTTGTCGAAAAAGATAATGGGTCTCGCTATTCGAATTTCATATCGATGATGGGAGGACTGCCGCAGTTGCACAATACTACAGATCTCTTGGGTCGTTTTCGGAACTCTTGGGGTGCTCTTCGGCTTTCTGGTTGCTCCCGGAGCGCCCAGGGTCGGCGGGTGCCCCGAGACAGGGCTTGCAGCTCGGGCTAAGGCTGAGGCCGAAAACCAAGGCAAAGAAAAACTTCTGCTACTGTAGGGGGCCACATGCGAACCCTACCCCTACCCCCCACGATTTCTGAGGGCGAGGGTGGGGTTCACTTCGTTCGGGAGCTCCCAAGCGAAGTGAACCCCACCCTCCCCTTCAGAAATCGCGGGGGGTAGGGGTAGGGTTCACGCGTGGCCCCCTATACTGGTTCCGTGTATCTTGCACCTCACACAAACATCTCGTTCGCTCGGATAACCAGCCGCGGCCGCTGGCGCAACACGTCAACGCCAAGCAGAGCGGCCGGACCGGCCGCCGCGCCCAACCCGTCCAGCGCCGCGAGCCCCGGCACTTCACCGACCAGCACTGTGGAGTTGTCGATCTCAGCCTCGCCCAAGGAAAACGACACGGCAACCTTCGACCGCGAGAGCTGGATCATGCCATCGGCACCAGCGATCAGCACGAGGTCACCGCTCGCCACGCGCTGGCCAAACGTCGCCGCTTCACGCGCGGCGTCCAGCGCCGCCCCCACTCCCGCGAAGAGGTTCGCGAATGGGTTATCGCTGTCGCTGCTACCACCACTGTCGCGGTCGGAGCCTCCTCCTGATACATCGAGGCCCGCTGCAGCCGCCGCCGCCGCATTCAACACGGTGATGGGCGATCCCGTGTCGAGAAGTGCAGGGATGCCGACGCCGTTGACGGTAAGCGTGGCGCAGGGCAGCCTAGTGTCAGGCAGCTGCCGCATGGGCACGGTACAGAGCCCCGCGGACACCGCCTCCATGCCCCCCTCACCGCCCAGAAACGTGATAGAGGCCTCCGACGACTCGTCGGAGGATCCGCTGATGACTCGACGGCCCGTGCCTCCCCATCGAAAATCGACCCCGCCGGGAAAGGAGGTCAGAAACGGGTAGCCCAGAATACCAGCCGCGGCGGGCGTAGCGACTGGCAGGGCGCTGGCGGTCAGGCCCGTCATGAACTTTGCGCGATTCGCCGCCGGCAGGTCGGCGAGCTCACAGTCACCCAGCAAGAACGTGTCGCCACCAGAAAAATTGCCACCTGCTCCGACACCCGCAGGCGCCGTGCCCACCCGAGCAAGCCCGAGGTCGGCTGCCACCTGCGAGCGGATGGTGTTGACGCTGGCCCCCGTGTCCAGGACGAACGTCAGGCTCACGCCCTTGTCGCCGGACTGCTTCTGCTCCGCCGTGGAGAGGTCTGGAAACCAGAGCCTGAGCGTGGGATACGAGCCGATCCAGCGCAAGGGCGAGCGCAGAGGCATCGTGTCGCCGCCGCCGCCCTCTGCGGCACACCCCAATGACGCCTGGCGTCCTCTCGCGTGCGTCAACGGATCAGAGAAACTATTTTTCCAGCGTGGTCTGCGAGCCAGTGGCCCCATCGACGCGAAGGCTGTGAAATGTACCCTGCAAGCAGCGCAAAACAACGCAGCGCAACACAGCAAAAGGTTGCGTCTACCCTTGTGCGACGGCACCGTCCGTCGTGTTGATTCAATCGGGAGAGTTCTTCCGAAACATACCGCCATGCGACGCGTCTGCAAGCTCGACACAGCGGAAAGCATGTGAATGCAAGCTGGCGAGCGGCACTCGCACGGCCTCTTTCAACAACCTCGAACCACGCTGTAAGCAACACAAGTCCCGACATGTTGATGCCCATGGTGCCCATAGACTTCTTGCAACTAACATACGCGACCAGCCATGTACATGAGTATGCACCTTGCGAGCAGGTTTTCAACGCAAGTAGAATTATGTCGGGCCTGTCCTCCTACAGGGGGATTTTCGACGAAAAATGAAACATGCTCAAAAATACGCCAAAATGGTCAAACAATGATCAAAAAATAAACCCCAGACTATTTTTTATACTATTTTTACCTAACAGCGAAGACTGACAGGTTTCTAATGGTCTCAAAAGATCTTGAATCCTCAAGGGGGTCTGGGCAGATGCTGGACGGGTGCCGGGGAGAATCCGCGGAAGTCGTTTTAAGCAAACAATTACACACTTCGTGGTCTTCGAGGTCCCAGAACTCCATTCCCGGGCCACATTCTGAATGCCCGGAGCCAACTGTAGGCCACTTCGTGCTCTTCGAGTTCCCAGAACTCCATTCCCGGGCCACATTTTGAATGCCCGGAGCCAACTGTAGGCCACTTCGTGGTCTTCGAGTTCCCAGAACTCCAGGGCACACATTTTGAATGCCCGGAGCCAACTGTAGGCCACTTCGGGTCCCACTTCGTGCTCTTCGTTCCCAGAACTCCATTCCTGGGCCACTTTTGATGCTGAGGCGCTGATTCTGAGGCTGGGCAGGCTGCTGAAGCTCCAGAGAGGCTGAGGCTGGCAGGCAGGCTGAGGCTGAGGCTGAAGCAGGCTGATGCTGAGGCAGGCTGAGGCTGAGGCTGAGGCTGGCAGGCTGAGGCTGAGGCAGGCTGAGGCTGAGGCTGAGGCTGCAGGCTGAGGCTGAGGCTGAGGCTGAGGCTGAGGCTGAGGCTGAGGCTGAGGCTGAGGCTGAAGGCAGGCTGAGGCTGAGGCTGAGGCTGAGGCTGAGGCTGAGGCTGAGGCAGGCTGAGGCTGCTGAGGCAGGCTGAGGCTGAGGCTGAGGCTGATGCAGGCTGAGGCTGAGGCAGGCTGAGGCTGAGGCCGAGGCTGAGGCAGACTGAGGCTGAGGCTGCAGGCTGAGGCTGAGGCTGAGGAGGCTGAGGCTGCAGGCTGAGGCTGAGGCTGAGGCAGGCTGAGGCTGAGGCTGAGGCAGGCTGAGGCTGAGGCTGTGACTGCGACTGCCGTTGCCACTGCGACTGTCATCGCGAATGCGACTACGACTGCGAGAACAGCAGAATTCTACAACTGGATTCTCATCTGAATCTTAAGGTCAATGCTTCCAGATATGCTCCTACACATCGCTGTTAGGTTGCTTTGCCGGGATAATTTGAGATCCCCCCTGTAGAGGCACAGGCCCGACTTAAAAGCAGACTGTGAAAAAAGGCCATCAACCAGACTTCTGGCGCTCCGCGCGGACTGCTCGCATCTGCTCTGGACCCCCCTCCCTGGCGCGCGGAGGCGCGCCAGGGGCGGGGCGGCGCCGGAGGCGCCTCCGGGGCGCTCCCGCGCAGACCCGGGCAAGCCGCGCGGAGCGTCGAGAGCTCATGTTTGCGGCGCTTGCTCTTATTCGAGAGCCTGCACCCTGCGAGCAGGCCTGTGCTTGAGCAGGGGCCGACCGTCCTAGGCATTCCTTTTTTGTCCTACCACGAAGTGTTCTTAGAACCCAGAAATGGTCTGAGAACAAAAGCCATGTTCTTAGAACATAAGCCCAATGTGATAAAACAAGGCAGCCCCAACCAAAATGCTCCAAGAACATCCCGTGGGAACCACACAAGGTTCTCAGAACATTGTCTGGTGGGGCTCTAGGCGAGCCAGGACGCTTCGCCACTGATTGATGTACAACGCAAGCGCACGAAACCACGACCACGCCCTCCCCAAAGCCGGTGCACGCTCGCGTGCGCTGAAGCCTCAGCTCACGGGGAAGACCGGCTCCGGGGAGCGCCCGCCCGTCGGCAGAAGCAGGCCGACCGACGAAGCAGAAAAGAGATAGGAAAAGAGGCACGAAAAGCACGAGGCACGAAGCGGAAGAAGTGGGCAGGAAACACGAAGCGGAGGAAGCAGGCACGAGACACGAGGCACGGCCCCCTCCAGGAGGACGGGAGAGGTGAAGCCACGTGGCCGTCGAAGCAGGAAGGCGCCCGAAGCAGCTCGGAATCTCCGGGAAGCCGCCGACAAAATGCCTACCCTCGACGGCCGGCGGGCACTGCCTCTGGGGGGGGGCCGAGCCTCGGCCTGGCCCACCGGCGACGCGTCGCCCCCCGGCCGGCGACCGGGGCCCCGACGGCGACGCCGCGCGCTCCCCCCGGGCGGGGTGGGGCATCCGAGCACCGATCGTCGGTGCGTCGACGACCCGGCGTCCCTGCACCCCACCCTCGTAGGGGAACGGAGGGGGACACGAGCACGAAGGCCTGGACTCGGAAAGACGCCCGGAATCGGGGGAGGGGGGGGGGGTGAGCGGAGGTGGGGTGCACGGATGTCGGATCGTCGATGCATCGGCGGTCGGCGCTTGGATGCCCCACCCCGCCCGGGAGCGTGCGGGAGAGGGGGGAGGGGGGGGTGGATGAGCAGAGGTTGGGGGAACGAAGAATGGCATAAACATAAAAACTCGGAGCTCCGCGCGGATTTCTCGGATCTGCGCTGGGCCCCCCTCTCCCGCACGTTCCCGGGCGGGGCGGAGCATACAAGCGCCGATGCCTCATTTTCGGGCTACCGCTCGTTACGAATCGTGCTCCCGCTGCTGCGCTGGCCTCATTTCTGCGCTTCCGCTCGTTCCGAATCGTGCTTCCGCTGCAGCACTGGCGTCATTATTTCCAGCGCCATGCCACGGCATGGTTTTCGGTCTTTACAAACAAGCTCCAAACTCTACAAAACTGCCGCCCGAAAAAACCATTGGAAGTGATTACACATTCGGTGTAGATTCGCTGATTTTGTTGGGCCGCAAAAGCCCCACTTTGGGGCGTCTCCACGCCATGCCATGTCAGGCTACGCGTCCTCATTTCCGCGTTTTCGCGCTTGTTTTTTGTTTGGGGGGGTTGTTTCAAAATGCTGTTCTCGCTGAAGCGCTGGCCTCATTTTCGGGCTACCGCTCATTCCGAATCGTGCTCCCACTGCAGCGCTGGCGTCATTATTTCCAGCGCCATGCCACGGCATGGTTTTCGGTCCTTCCAAATAGGCCCCAACATCTAGAGAATGGCCTGAACAAAAACTATCGGAAGTGATTACACATTCGGTGTAGATTCGTTGATTTTTTGGGGCCGCAAAAGCCCCACTTTGGGGCGTCGTCACGTCATGCTATGTCATGCCACGCGTTGATCTTCAACACCATGCTATGCCATGTAATGCTGTGCCATGTTGCGACATCCAAGTGTGCGAATAGAGAGGACACCCCCCTCTCCCGCACGTTCCCTGGCGGGGTGGGGTATCCAATCACCGATCGCCGATACATCGACGATCCGAAATCCCTGCGCCCAACCTCTGCTCAACCATTGCGCAATAAAAATATTCCTCTCCTCTCTCCCCAAATGACGTCTGGAAGATGTCCGGCCCCCCTCCGCGTATTGCCTTTTTACAAACCAGATTCACGGGAATTGGGTTTTCTCTTGGAATTGTTTTCGACATGTTGCTCCCGGTGAAGTGCTGGCCTCATTTTCGGGCCTCCGCTCGTTCTGAATCGTGCTCCCGCTGCAGCGTTGGCCTCATTTCCGCGCTTCCGCTCGTTCCGAATCGTGCTCCCGCTGCAGCGCTGGCTTTCCTTCCAGATGGGCTCCGAAATCTAGAAAATGGCCCCCCGAAAAAACTATCGGAAGTGATTACACATCCGGTGTCGATTCATTGATTTTGTGGGCCGCAAAGCTTCAAGGAAAGGAAGGAGCTAGACATGGAGCCACGACTCCGGACCAGCCCAGACCACTCGAATACGATCCACTTACCCTCAAAGGAACCTGGCGCCATGCCTTGAGATGCTGTGCGGTGTTGTGTTCTGCGCCGCTGTGCGATGCCATGCTTTGCGTTGCAATTATTTGTGATGCAATGCTTCGCTGCGCAATGCCACGCCGTACTACGGCATGTTATGCTCTGCCGTGCTCTTCTACGCTACGCCATGCCGTGCTCTACCATGCATCGCGCACCCTCTTGCGATCATTGCCCTGGTCGACATCCGACCATGCGAATAGAGAGGATTATCCACGTCATGGTAAGGGATGGGAGGGAGGGGTAGGACGTCAGATATGACGCGAGTGCACCAAGCTTGTCCCCCCCCCCTCCCCCGATTCCGGTCGTCTTTGCCATTCCGGCTTCCATCTCTCCGATTCCGGCTCCCATCTCCGACACCAGCCCCCGCCACGCCTCCTGAGGGCTCTGCCCTTTGAGGGCCGGTCCCGCTGGCCCGACAGCGCGCGCTCGCCCCGCTCGCCTCTCGTTCGCCTCGCCCGCCTCTCGCCTAGCTCCTGGGGCGACGCGGGGGTGGCCCTCGGGTGCGGCTGGCAGCCGCGGCAGGGCCCCGAGGAGGCGGGCGACGACCCCGCACGAGCCTTGGGTCGGGCGTGTCCCCCTACAGGGGGATTTTCCGGCGAACAATCAAAAATACCCCAAAAAACGACCCCCCAAACTAGCCAAAAATTGTTCAAGAATCGTCCCTGGACCATTTTTGGACTTCTTTTGAATATCCTCCCCTGTAGGGGGACAGGCCCGACCCCCTACAGGGGGATTTTGGGCGAAAAGCGAAAAATACACAAACCAAAAAAATCAAAAATGGTCCCCAAATCTGGCGGAAGTTACGCGGATGCGTGGGAAAGCGTATCTAGGGGCTCTTTTTCCTCCAACGCAGCTCGAACAAAAGGGCCTGCGGGTATGCAACGAATTGATGGCGCCCGAATCGCGCAAGATCCCGAGCACACCGCGTGGCCGAGCGGGGGCGGGTGGTGAACCCGTCCTCCTCGGACACCCCTCGGGTCACCACTCCCTCCAGGGCCCTAGAAAGTGAAACTTAAAACCCGCAGTGCCTCGACGCGTAGTCGCGGAGGTCTAGACTCGCGCCCATGGCGCATCTAAACAGTGCGCGGCTCAAGGCCCCACTCGGACCACACCCCTTGTTCTCGCGGTCCCAAAGGCTGGAAACGGGGGCTGGTCGTCCACCAAGTATACTTGACCTGGCTCTGGGTG